CTGAAAATATGATTATTCAACGAACGAATCATCGCATTAATCTGTTTATCTGTCCACGATCGAAAAATGTTACCAAACTGCGAACTTAAATGTTAAACCCACTATAAGAAGATTGTCCAGTTCAAAAGAAACTGAAAAATTTTGAGCCTTTAGGTCATTTCGGATTTAGTTAAAGCTCACCTTTACTCACTGTACCGATCCCAGTGCCGTTTTTATCGGTGCAATAATTACACTACAGCTAACATCAGTAATCGTTGACTGGCGTTGTTAATTTTGTGGGTGTAACTAGACCGCGAAACTTTTGGAACCTCAGATGGCGGTGGAACCTGCGGAACCCGTTAATTTTGTTAATAAAAGGGAATGAAATAAGATAAAAATTAAAAAAACCTTTCCCCTATTTGGAGTTTTGAAGTCTTTGACTTGCAACCACAGGTAGCCCAAGCTCGTAAACTTTGCAAAAATGGTAATTTTACACAATGGGCAAAATAAAGGGATTTGCATGGGAAAGAACGAACTTAACCTTAAAAAAACCTGAAATAGTTTTAAATGAAAACAAAGTTATTCCACTTAAATGGTTATTCCTTTGCGTCGTGTGAATTTCTTGTGCTGATTTAGGGCCAAAGTTTATCTGTTGTGGACTGCTTTTTGTGCGTCTGTAAGTAAGGCCCCGTTTATCTGGATAAAACTTGCCACGGCCATTTAGGGGGTCACCCTCCCAGCCGAGTAAAATAAAATGAGTTTTTGGCCCCTCTTCTCGAGCCAAGAGCAGGCCAAGTCATGGATCGCTATATAGGCTTCAGATTCTTCTTTCGACATATTCTTCACGGGTTTCTCTGTGACTGTTTTCTTAACTCAGCTCCAAAGTAATTTTTGGTAGCATATTTCGCAACCATAATTTTTCAAACTTTTTCAAATAATTTCACTTTGTTGGTGTTAAATTCGGTGGCATTAAACTTATGGAGGCTTTGATATTCCTTCAAACAGTCAACAATCGACTCCACAAGACCACTTCTTTACCGAGCCTGATGAGCTAGATTTCGGTCTTGACGCCCTTTTTCCCAATGACAATAGCGCTCGCACATGCTCGTAATAGGGAGCTTAAGCAACCACGACGACGAATGGAGGACGACGACCGGAACTAGCGAGAACGTCACTGCGCAAGCGCGAACCAAGAATTCCGTCGTCGTCTTATCGTCGACGACTTGAGATGGACCAGTTTCACGTCGTGGTGAACTTCTGAACTGCAAAGCAGTTTTTCTCATCAAAAGGTGCGGCTTTATTGTCGTTTTTTTGAAAGTCTATGACCGGTTGGAGTTTGTATTCGCTTCTTCGGTTGATTTAAACCTCCCTGTTTAGTTTTCTAAACAAATAAAATTCAAAAACCCACAAACTCATTTTCCTTCCTCCGCGCAACAGATGTCAAGTCAAGCGGTGGAAGCGAACACGTTAGGTTTAAATTTTTTGAGTATATTTTATGAAAGAGTGCTGTGTATCATTTTTATTGAATGAAAAGGTTTAAATGGCAGTGCAATACACCTCTGCGTTCGGTCATAAGCTGTGTGTATGGAACTGCCGGTTTATTGCTACTAGAAAATTTTGCGTGTTGCTGTTCTTCCGTCGAGAGGCTTTAAACAGCTAAGAATTCTTCAGATCGGTGTGTCAACATGAGTTTGAATACCTCTCAGGTTTTGCGAATCTATTTTCGAAATGTTTGATAAAGATCTAGATTTACAGCCATAAAAATTATTCCGACAAAATCACATGGGAAAAGAATAGTATTCGGAGTTCTTGTGTGAAGCGCGACGACTGACCTGTGCCGGTCACTAGCTAGCATTGATTAAATTGACAGACTTGCGTCGTTTGCCCGCTAAAGGAAGGAGCATCAAAGGTAAAACATATCAGGCTAAAGCATGTTGAAAATCAGGCAAGCCTTAGGCAAAATAAGTTTGTTTATACCAGCAGCACTTAGAACTGAATTTTAATCTCAAATAACTTCCTTAAAATTTGTATTTTAAACTTTTATCATGCGTAAATTATTGTAAATAAAGCTAAAGCTTAATAATTCCTTGGACTTTTGATGTTCAAGAATTGAATAACCTACTCTCGAACTTCCGATATAGGTGAAAATTTGATCCATGACTGAGAAG